GGAAACATAGTGATGGATGATGTGCAGTGTACTGGAACTGAATCATTTCTTGTTAACTGCTCACATACAAGCACTAGTAACTGTAGACACACTGATGATGCTGGAGTCAGATGCAGCAGCATAACCACAAGTAAGTAGTTTGATAATACATTATTTATAAAAGACTAAATTAAACTTTCATATGAATTTATAGTGATTATGACATGCTGTTATAATCTCAACCAAACAAATAAAGCATGCATACCTCAGTTGGGATCTGCATAATTATGCAAGAGCTAACTAAATAAGCTTAGCATAATCATAATATTTATTCATCAGAGTACAGTTGTATGGTGAAATCAGCAAAACAATGTCAGAGGAAATTTGCATAAATATATATATATATATATACATGTAGATTCAATATTAATTTTGTATTTAATTTTATCTTAAAGATAGTACTTCAAGTTCAAATTCACAAGCTCCATGGACTATTATTGGAGGGACAATAAGTGGCATTGTGGCTCTAATAGTCATTATAACAATTATAACATGTGTCTTGATATTGCGGCACAAGTGGTTGAAAAATAGAAAAAGTTTGTCTACTGCAGTTAGCTATTCCAACACGTATGATGAGTCAACATGTCAGGAATATTCTAAACAGCCTCAAGCTCCTCCTCCTGCCAATCCTTACCATCAAGAACAAATCCCAACAATGGCTCTTTCTCAACCTCATGGTGCTTCTCAATATAATTTTCCTCTACAAGATTTTACTCCATTGGCTTACCCACAAGAAGTTCAATTGGGATACCCACAGCAGTTGCAAGGCAACAGCCCATATCCTCTTGCCTTTCCTTCATGAAAAATAATTGCTGAATTGATTTTTTTGAATTATTATTATGACTGAGTGTTATACTAGTATAGCTATAAATAGCCTACTGTTTATTTTTTTCAGTGTGGTTTAGTTACTTTAAATTATATTGTTGATGTTTTACCATTTCAAAAAATTTTAGTTTTATTTTAAAATTATTTTTAGTTCAGTTACAGATAAATTTATAGCATGAATGTTTCTACAGTATTGATATTAAACTCTTATCATATCTAGTCTGTTTAAGCATTTTACAGTATACATAAATTATGTCATGCTTTTGCCTCTAATTCTGCCCAAGCAATGATTCCGTTGCACAACTGACAAAAGAATTGCTAAGTCATGAATTCCTCCTACACAAATTGATTAGATTACACATCATAATGTTTGTACTATATAATGCACATACACTGATACTGTGAGATTAAGATCTAAAAGCTATAGTAAAGTATAGTAGTCTATATACCAGCACCTCTAATGGCCGATTTACACTGCAAAATCAACATAAGGTAAAGCTATACGTTAGACAGGAAGTGCTGTATAAACCAATGGCAACCGTTTACGTAACGTAAGAGTTGAACTTATCTCTACTCTTACGTTTGGCCATTGGTTTATACATACTTCCTGTCTTAACATATGGCCTTACCTTACGTTAATTTTGCAGTGTAAATCGGCCTTAAGGAATAACATCTTTCCTTCATTTCCTGTAGACTAGTCATGCATGCAGTCACTATTTTGTATTGAGTCTGGGTATTGCTTACATGCATAGGTGCTTCAACAAAAGTGGGGTGAAGGAGTAGAGGTGAAAAAACATGAAATGCAAATACAATCCATGATTCACTCTGAAGTGATTTATAGTGATGCTGCTCTTTGTCAATAGGGCTCAGTATATATCTTACTTACGATTTGAAATTAAGGGGCTGGAGTGCAGTGAACCAGCAGCAAATTGTTGCTGGCTCACTGCATACCAGCAACCATCAAAGTTACACATGCAATTGTGTAGTCTCACAACCCAGACCCTCCGCCTACAGTCATTGGGGTGGACAATGACTGTAGGCGGAGGGTTTTAAACTATTGAAGAGTAAGTAAAATAAAATAATAATATTATTTGTTAAAAAAACAAAAATTATTATAATTAGGACTGAAAAATATTTTTTGATGAGAGGAGTTTTGAAATGTTGTATTCATTACACAAGACCTAAAAGAAGACAAACAAGAAAGTTAAAAAGTTCACTGTATTATTATGAACAAGTATTTTTGCTACAATCAAGTTATTATGATTACAAGTCATGTTAAGAAAGCATGAAAATGTAACAGGCTAACAGCATTGGCAAGGGAATAAAGGAAATGGACGGAAGTGGCATTCCATGCAAAAATTCCAGACTAGGACTTAACTTTAGAACAAAGTGCGGGTATTGTTTGTAATTTAAAGTGTGATGCATAATGTAAAGGAAAATAAAGAAAATAATAAATTTTAAAGCATTATAAATTTACTTACTTTATTGATGGAGCTCCAGTGTGAGATAGAGAGGGACAGAGAGAAAGGGAGACACATGGGGGTGGGAGGGAGGAACTAAGGGAGGGAGAGAGAACATTACGAGTATGAATCTGACAATGTATACATACATGAACATGTAACATCATGAAATTGTGTAACATAAATAAAAAATCATATAAAATCATAATGTAACATCATAAATTGTAACCAATCCCGGTTACGTAGTCTATAATATCTATGGTATAATCATAGATATTATACGTACATGGATTGGAAACAGGGCAAGACTGGATGGTCACATGCTCTTTTCGCAGGAAGTGACATCATTACCCACGTGGAAAAATGTGACAGTATTACTTGAAGGCTGAAGCATTAAGCAAGTACCTTTAAGACTGTTCTGGAAATATTCTCAACATGAGAATTTTAATTTAAACTCCAAAGGTGAAGGAAACAAAGGAGAGGAAATATAAAAGAGAGAAAATATACATACCAATAATATTTGAAATTTAATTTTATTAAAAATAACTATGTATTATTAATATCACTGAGGTATTGTTGATGACTTGCAAGTAGATTCAATTATTAATGATGATTACAGTCTCTTGATGGCTCATGCTCCTGGTTTTCTCAATATGGTAGACAGTGCATGCAAAGGTATTTTGTTCAGTCCTACCATTAAACCATATAACAGATGAAATTGATCCTAGTATGACACAAATCAATAAAAAATGCTTTTTAGTAGATGATCAACTTAAGACTTACTTCAATTGGCAGTAAAACACCACCTTCAATAATTTTTAACCTCCTATCTCCTTCCAATTCACTTCATAATTTCTCCTATTTGAAGACATTTATTGAACAAAATGATGACATCACTAGTACACAAGTACATTCTTAAACATTATGTCTGAATCAAGAAATATCCATCATATACACTTGATTGGCCTAAAATGTGCCCACCGTTAGTTGGTAATAGTTAATTCTGGTATTACTTCTTTTGTATTCTAAAAAAGGGTACAAAACCACAATATTGAAGGTATCAAGTCAATAAATCAAACTTTACCCATAGTTATCAATATTATTTTACTTCAAAAATTAGACAGACTGTAAGGGAGGTATCTGTAATGCCTTTAATTATCATTGCAGAGGATGAACACAAGTCACTTTAGAGTTATGAGTTGAAATAGGACGCCAAACAGTGAAGGAAAAGGCCCGGGAAGGGTAACTTGCCTATGTTGCTAGGCAACTTAATAATCTTAATGAAATAATCCGCCCACGCAACGGAAGTTTCCTATCCCTTTCATTTACTCTAATATCTATGGTCAAACTCAAATCGTCAAATCGAAACTGAGTTTCAAGCATTGTTTTGTCAGCAATTGCTGTCACTTGACGAGGGCTAATTCCCAAGATACAGCATCTAAGAATGTTCCTCAATGTTTTGATTGTGACTTCAATCTTCATCTACACTGTTTGCTCGGCCTCAGGTGAGTACTTCTGCCTGAAATATAGGGTGGTGGTCTGGCCAAACCGTTACATAGAGCTAGGGGCGCAATGGGTCAAGTTTCAAGCATTTATAAAAGGAACCATTTAAGATATTCTGTCAAAATTATTTCCTTATTGTTCTCTTTTCTTTCTCTTTGTAATAAATTTAATTGAAGGACTCAGTTCTCTTTTAATAAATGGGTATAATTATGGGCCCCATTGCATAATTTTTTTTTTCAATAATGGCTTTGAAAATCACCCCAATTTTTATTACATTCTCTGATGCAATCTAAATGTCCTTGTGCTATGTAGAAAGTTTGCTGTTTTAACAAAAATTTTCAAGTTATGATCATTTTAAAAAGCAAGCTGCAATGAATTTTTTTAAATGGCTTTGAAATCACCCCCATGCAATTTTTATTACATTTTCTGATATATAATTGATACCCTTATGCTATGTGGATGCTATAGACCTATTATTTTGGATGCCACACAGCCATGCATCATGTGGTTTTTACATTAATTATGCACACAAGTGACAACTAGGTTGTTGATACCAGTACATGTAACTAAAATTATATCAAGGCACTTTCCATTACTGACATCAAACCAATCATTTCTATGTGTAAACCCTATAAGAATAAATATTGCCGTTGTTTGTATACATAGTACCCAGTTCATTAGCATAATATTATGCTAACCTATACATAATTCTCTTTTATGATATAGCCACTAATGAAGGTTTCAAATAGCATGAAGCCTGCTAGTATTGCACAATGATTGTCACTATCACAACAATAGCCCATATACACAATGAATTTCTGGCTATTTGGCGTATTATAGACAACCACAATCTTTTATTAAATAGCAAAACGTTTCAGCCCGAAGGCCTTCATCAGTTGTACAAGAGTAAAGAACTGATGAAGGCCTTTGGGCTGAAATATTTTGCTATTCAATAAAAATTGTGGTTGTGTATAATACACTAAATAGCCAGGAATTCATGAGAAGACACACCAATGAATCTGAAGAATATCACATAGACACAATTTATAACTATACATGAATACTATACTACTATAGTATATGCTATACTATACTAGTATACTATACTATACTATACTATAGTATGGCACAATCATTATTTTACGGTTAGTTAAAATGAGTTAAACCATGTTTGAAGATGTCCAACTCCTCGGGCTTCGTCCTTGGGCTCCAAATAGTATGGACACCTTCATCAATTATGGTTTAACCTATTATATATAGTCACTGATATTTAAAAGGATGAGCTTTTGTATGTTTTCCTCTTGTGTTCCAAATAGCTTGGAACTTGATCGCTTTAATTTTAACATCACAGTCATATTATAGTAGCCAATTTATACATTATGTATACATGTATTTGTGTGCACAATCATTTTAGTTTAAAGTAGTGATGTAGTCACTTTATTTATAAATTTGGTGTATAGTACTGGGTAGCAAGATATTTCTATGGCTTAAAATTTCTAAAAATTCACCTAATATCAGTTTTTGGCCATTGTTGTACTGTTTCAATTATTTAAAAAATTCAAACATTTGAAAAATTTTGGGCCATAGCAAAATAAATTTTTTAGCAAAACATTAATCTGCAAGTATGATGTTAAATTTTGTTGCTGTTTAAATTATTCTTCATAAAATTTACATGTTATGCTACAAAAATTATGCAATTGCGAAATGGTTCGTTGTTCATCAGTTGAACATATTTGTCATTTTTAGATGAAGGTGACCGGCTATGGGATGTTACGTTGGATCCACTACAGTTAAATTATGATGCTGAAGGCTGGATGACGATTTGTCATGATGGTATAAACCTTGATGTAGCTCATGTTGTGTGTAGGCAAAAAGGATTCACTAATGCTACTTCTTTAGAAATAAGTAATTTGTAAGTTACTTCATTCTTACATTCCTAATAATGGTACATATTTGTTTTTAGTAGATTATCAGTGTCTGATTTTGTAATCACCAAAGTTGTATGTCCATCAACTTCAAATTACTTTTTATATGGTGAAACCAACATTATGCGTTGTAACATTGCTGATCCTGTAAAGAAGGAACAAGAAGCATGTTCACTTGCAAAAATTTCCTGTAGTGAGTTCTTGTGATTATAATTGTACATGCTACTTTAATGCATAATACAGGTCATGGCTAAAAGTGTTGCAAAGAGACACATTTTTAACCTGCCTTGTTGAAAGTTTTACATGTACTGTATATTGGGTATATTTCAATGCATTAATAATTTTGGAAAAAGCAATTCATTGCGAAAATAAATATTATGAAATTTTAAAATATGCAGATAAAAAGGAAAAAAGATATGTGGTATTGTGCAATTAATATGAACATGGCTTTATAACTATCCATGGCTTCATGGCTTCTTCTTTGCCAGTTAGATGAGTTGCTAAGGTAGATTCAGAACTGAGTGGAGAAGTCAGCAAATGCTTCTATTTACTTACCAGGCCAGGTTGTTCATGGAAATAATAGCAAGTAAAATATTTTTGGAATGTAAAGGGCTTCCGAATTTTTTCATGATTGAACTTTATATTTATACCACTTTTCATGCATTGAAATATACCCGATATACAGTAATTAGAATATCCTGTTGCAGAGTCTGAAATAACAGTAAGACATTGGACTTTATCTGACCATTTTGTTTAATTGTCAGGCAAAATTCTGGGTTGTGCTACACCATTTTGTCTATTCAAGCAACATGCTGTATAGCGGGAAAATTTAGTGGATAATTAAATTTGGCGGATTGGCAGTTCAAAATATAGCCGCCAATATTTTAACTGTCAATAATAAATCCAATGATGACCAGATCTCGTCATGCGCACATAATACTGAAAAATGCCAAAATGGCAGTATTTCTCACTATTTCAGTCAAGACTGTGGGCAAGGACTGCCAACTAGCAGCTTCAAGAAGAGCTGAGAGTGCTTAAAGAAAAGACAAGATAGTTAACTACCAAATTAAACTGCCAATATTATATTTAAGTAATTTTGATGCAAAACCGCCAAAGTTTTAGACTGCCAAATTTTTCTGCTATACGGTAATTTAGTCTTGCCATGTGAAGGGGTGTGACAAGACTAAACATAATTTAAAAATAATGATATAAGTTTTATTTTTTAACATAATAACCAATTAATCTTAGGGTTTACCACAAAACATGCTAAGTAAGCTAACGGCATGCATTTATGAGCTGACAAGCACTACAATACAGTGCATGGCATTTGTAAAAATGTAATTTTGACTAAAATTTTCTATGTAACATAAGAACATGTATTTTGAAAATAGAGATTTTTACCTAGCTTTTTTGACAAAATTTGGCCAACAGTGACTTTGGTCTAATTTTTGAGCAGCTTTAAAAATAATTATCAAAATCAGCTCAAACTTTCTGTGTTATATGTATCAAAAAAATTTATATGCAGAATTCTCTTTTAGTCATTTTGACAAAATTTATTTAATGATGCTGTACTGTAAGTTCAGAGACTTTGGCTTGATTATTGAGCAACTTTAAAATTCATAAAAAAATTGAATTTATATCTAAATTAGCTCAAACTTGATATACATCATAAGTGCATGTATATGTATCAGAAAAAGTATAAAAATGCAGAATTGTCTCCCAGCCTTTTTGATGAAATTTGGCCTATGCCCTGTGCCTTAGTACAGGTTTTTGGCTCATTTTTTGAGCCACTTTGAAAATTAATTTTGATTAGAATTAGCTCAAACTTTCTATGCAACATAAATTCTGTATCAAAAATTATAAAAATTCATAATTTTCTCCTAGCCATTTTTGACAAAAATAAATTGGTCAATGACCCTGCAGTACTATAGTACAGGGACTTTGGCTCAATTTTTGAGCATCTTTATTGGTCTGACTGTTTCACGAAAATTGCAGATCAAATTAAGCTATGTTCTGAGACAATGCTGAACCTTGCTTGAATGTAATTTCAGGCTTTGCTTTTCCACCTTATTGAACAAAATTCATTGTCTAGTAGAATGTCAAAATGTGCATTTTAATTGTATTTCTTGATTCTTACTATAGATACTGATACAATAAAGAAAACTGATCCTTACAAGGGTCAATTATATCTTGATAGGACAGAGACTGAATCACCAGCTGATGGTGTGGTTGAAGTTTTTCTTGATAATGACTGGTATCATGTGTGCAAAACTAGTTTCACTGATACTGTAGCCAACTCAATATGTAGACAGTATGGATACACAGGAAGTGATTCTTGGACTACAGTAGAGCCTGCGTATGTTATAATTATGTTGTATTGTTTATGATTCATTTTCAATAGTTCTTCAGTGAAGGGTGTTCTAGTAACAGAATACAGTTGTAAAACTAGTTCTTTTGAATGTTTTTCTCACTGTATACCAAGCACTTACAGTATTGACAGCTGTGAGGATCATGTGACACTAACATGCAGTAAGCAAACTGACTCTAATGTGCATGATTTAGCAGTAAATCTTAAAAGAGTGCAGACAATATGTGGTTTAGTGGTTTTATTAGAGTTTTCCACATAATTTTGGCATAATGCTTCATTGCTTGAAGAGATTTTTAAAATTTCATAATGGATATACAATTATACATGTATAAAGATTTTGAGCTATTAAATTCAAATCAAAATTGTTTTTTAATGATTTTTTTTAATTACTGAAAATTGGATGTACTATATAGTACTGGCCAAATTTAATCAAAACTGACTTAAGACAGGATTTGTCATTTTTATAACTACATGTACCTGTATGCGATATATATAGATCTGTACATGTTCTTATGTTGTGTAGCAAGTTTGTGCTGATATCAATAAAAATTAATTTTTTTGAATTTTTGAAGTTCTTTATTAAAAAGTCATGTTCATGCATTTGCGCTTGTCAGTTGTCAGGCTTTCAGCTCATATAAAACATGCTTTCAAGCTCATTTAGGATGCTTTGTGGGGAAACTTTGGGTTTTATTCACACATCTGCAAAATTAAAATTTTCCAGTCACTAAAATATCAGAATTTCCCCTTTAAAATACTCACCATGAAATAATTTTTTATTATTCTCAAGCTACAAATTCCCTCTAAAGTTACTTATGCATGTTATGCCGCTAATTTTTGTCTTTTAAAAATAATTGTATTGCTAATGTATGATAATTATTAAGTACATTTATGTAGGTTTTGATGTCACTGAAAAGTATATAACAAGTGGGTCTCGAAGTCAGTGTGCTTTGGATGAGTGCAGTCAGTGTGAAAAATCACTTCAAAATTGTAAAAAATAAAGTTAATCATAGTCTTAAATCACTACTTCCATTTTTGTAGACAGAATTATTACAGGATCTCTCAGTTCACTGCTTTTATTCAGTGTCGTTGTATTTCTTATTATAGTCATTTGGTTCTGTTGTAAAAAAAAATGCTGCTGTTGCTGCAGAAAAGATTATGCAAATCTTCCTGATCATCGTGTTAGATATCGAGTAGATGGTGACAGAAATGATGAATGAGATGTGAATTTTCTCTATATTTAATTAAATAATTTTTTACCCGTGATATATATGAAATCGATTTAATTACTAGATTTATTTTGTATTACTTTTATAAAACACTGTTATTTGTATTAGTTTAATTGAACACTGTATCTAAAAACAAAATTAGGATACATTGACTATTACTGGTACTGGCTATATTGATATATATCAAGATGTTGTTTATATAAATGAAACTTATGGAGATGTCTGTTCTGATGGAATCGCTCATGATATTGCTTTATTATTCTGTCGTTCACAAGGTATGATAATAATGCATTATACTGATATAATGGATCTTATACTAGAACAAAAAAATTAAAAAAATTATTTAGTGTAGGGTTGAGCCTCTGTTGGATTTAAACCTATAAAATGAATTCAAACAAGCCCCTGTAGGGTTGCTGGTTTCAAACTATAAAATAAATTCAAACAAGCCCCTGTAGGGTTCTAGCACCATTTAAACACCAACATGTCAACCCTAAACTGCAGGT